CAATCCGAAACCTTCTAGAAGAATGCTATTTTTAAAGCAATATCTTTATCTCGTGATATCTCCCCTCAATGTACAATCCGAAACCTTCTAGAAGAATGCTATTTTTAAAGCAATATCTTTATCTCGTGATATTTCCCCTCAATGTACAATCCGAAACCTTCTAGAAGAATGCTATTATTAAAGCAATATCTTCATCTCGTGATATCTCCCCTCAATGTACAATCCGAAACCTTCTAAAAGAATGCTATTTTTAAAGAAATATCTTTATCTCGTGATATCTCACCTCAATGTACAATCCGAAACCTTCTAGAAGAATGCTACTTTTAAAGCAATATCTTTATCTCATGATATCTGCCCTCAATGTACAATCTGAAACCTTCTAAAAGAATGCTATTTTTAAAGCGACATCTTTATCTTGTGATATCTCCCCTCATTGTACAATCCAAAACCTTCTAGAAGAATGCTATTTTTAAAGCAATATCTTTATCTCATGATATCTCCCCTCATTGTACAATCCGAAACCTTCTAAAAGAATGCTATTATTAAGGCAATATCTTTATCTCATGATATCTCACCTCAATGTACAATCCGAAACCTTCTAGAAGAATGCTATTTTAAAAGCAAAATCTTTATCTCATGATAAACACATGGTGTATGCTGCAAAAAACGACACCTTAGCAAGTGTAAATATCTTCAACATAGTCAAATATATCTAGTATTTCCTATTATAAGATTACAATAAACCAAATATGTTTATTAAAACTATTTCTAGACACTTCTAGATGCTTGAAATAGTCTTGTTCTATTGGCAGCTAATTTTGCTCATTTTAAGCATTTATTTCTAGAACTGCCAACAGAATATGAGACAGTTTAAACTTGAAATTAGTAAAAAATGTCTAGAATTTTTACTGGTTTAATAACATTATTTTTGGTTGATTGTAATGATAAATTTATTTTAAAAATCGATCCTATATTCATGTTATTTTCACTTAATAAGATGTAATTTTTTGCAGTGTACTATATTAAATATCTAGACTAATTTATGCGTTATATTTTTTTTCCATACTTCGCAGTGTTTAGATATAATTTCCCAACCATAATGGAAATTATGAATTCTGTTATAATGTTTGTCATGTACTTAAATTTAGCAAGACTTTCTCAGCATGCCAACAGCTGTCCATCATCCCACATTAAATACCAGACATTTTATTCTGAGCATTAAAAATAACTGTAATAAAATGCTATTTAAAGTACTGACGTCTTCAGAGTGGAAACAAAAATTAAAGATAGTATGCTTATTTATGAATATGTTTTTGTCTGTTTGATAATAATGGACAGCTTTTATTAATCAATTCATTTACAATCGAGCGCATAGGCTGCATACGCATACCAAGAGGGCCATGAAAAAAAAAACAACTTATTTTCATAATAATTTTGGTTGATTATGCCTCATCTTTTGGATTGCCGTCTGGCTGGATTTATCCTTTCATGTCTACATTCTGATAATGTAACTGTGAGCAACTAATAATTTCTCCATGATACCAGACATTATCCACTGTCTGCTGTTCAAGGACTCGATGTGTCCTGACATCGGGTTTGAATCTAAATCTAAAATGCACATACACTTTTGAACACATAGTTTTTTTAAATTAATTTAATTAGAACCTTTAATGTTTGGCCACATCACTCAGGAAAGTATGAGTGCCTATACAAAACTTTTGTGTTGGGGTGTCTGTACTTCCCTCCAGCCATAGATAGCAAATGAAACAGCTGGTTTGTGTAACTGTTGATGCAAATAATGGATTAGGAACATCTCACTTTGAGCATTGTCATCTTTATGCACAGATCATTTCTGGTTGCATTCTTGATAACAAAGGCTCATAAGCTCAAACATCTTTTGGATTATAAAAATATATAGATCCTTGTGCAAGATGACATGCACATGTTTATACATCTGGGGCTTTAAGAAGACGAGATAAAAGGACAAAGCTGATGAGTCTTAGCTAACATCTCAAAATGTAGCCTAATTTTTGGGTGACCATATGGGTTTAAATCCAGTCTAAGTGTCTCAATCCAGTCTTGTTCTCTTGTGTTAATGTTGCTATTCTTCTTCATCTTTCAGCTGCTCCTGTTAGGGGTCGCCACAGTTGATCATTGGTCCCCATATCTGATTTGGCACAGTTTTTATGCCAAATGCCCTACCTGATGCAACCCAAGTGGCTGGGGTTGGTTCCCTGGCTGGGACTCGAACCCAGGCCGTGGCGATGATAGCACCATGGCCTAACCACTAGTCCTCCAGGGACCCTTGTTCACATGTGTTAATAAGTTGTCTTAATCTCGCTCTTACACCTAATGTTACCTAAACTGTGGCCACACATTATTTTTTAAAAGTAGGGATGTCATTAGCAAGGCTCCATACAGTATGTAGGCTATATTCATACACTCACCATCCACTTTATTAGGAACACCTGTATACCTGCACATTCACACAGTTATCTAATCAGCCAATCATTTCACCACGGTTGTAAAGAGTGCTTATCTTTGTTACTATAGACTTCCTGTCAGCTCAGCCCAGTCTGGTCATTCTCTTCTGATCTCTCTCATCAACAAGGTGTTTGAGCCTGCAGACCCTCTGCTCACAGGATGTTTTTTGTTTTTCGCACCATTCTGTGTAAACTCTAGAGACTGGTGTGTGTGAAATTCCCAGGAGATCAGCAGTTTCTGAAATACTCAAACCAGCCCATCTGGTACCAACAACCATGCCACAGTGAAGTCACAGAGATCACACTTTTTCCTCATTCTGATATTTGATGCTCTTGACCTGTATCTGCATGATTTTATGCATTGTGCTGCTGCCACATGATTGGCTGAGTAGATAACTGCATGAATGTACAGGTGTTCCTAATAAAGTGGACAGTGAGCGTATATCCTGGCACGCTTGAAATGAATTTAAAAACAAAAAAAAAGTAAACTTCACAATTTTCGAACATATAATGTAATGGTTTAAAGTTTGGATGTATTTTAAATTAATTAACCAAGAACATTGCAAACACTAGCCTATTTAGCCTAAATATAACTTCGCGTGATCCTATTTGTAAGGTATCGCGATAACCTCATTCTAGAACTGTAATAAACTTCCGGGGCGGGGCTAAAGACTGGCTCATAAATTTCCCGCCATTTGGTTGGCGTTTTCTAACAAGCCTGCTAATTGACGGTTGAGTGTACATTCTGTTTGGCAGCGATGGTTTCTGCGTTTTGACTTTCTGGAAGCGTATAAAGTTTCTAGCGGAATAATTAACAAGCCCTCAGTGATTTTAGGCCGCGTTTTTATGAAGCCCGAGCTGCTGGAGGTATGAAGGAGCTGATTGAGGAGATGGCCGACAGCGGGTATGGGTGCGCCGTGGCGAACCGCTTCTGCCGCCTTCTGGATGACGAGTCCGACCCTTTCGACCTGCTGTACCAGGCTCAGGTGAAAAACGAGCAACGGAAGAAGAAAGAAGAGCTGAAAAAAGTCGTCGCTTCGACAAAAAGCAGCAAGAAGGAGTCGCAAAGAGACAGGAAGACAGTCGTTCGTGTCGCGGATACTAGCGCGAACAGGGCTGTAGCGGGTAAGTTGTGACCCAGCGGGTTTGTGTGATTTGACGCATGCGCAGTGGAGGAGAGAGTCAGGTTGTGGTGTTGTGACTGTGAGCAGGTCAGAAGCGGCCAGTTCGCGCTGCGCCTGAGGAGCGAGCAGAGAGACGCGTGGCCTTCAGTGAAGCCAAGCTCAGTGAGGGAGAACTTTCTCTGGGCTACTCCATCGAGAGGTGACAGTAATCAGTTCTGTTTTACTTTGGTCTTGGTGAGCTGTAGGATATTATACAGGATGCTTTTTTTTTTTTTTTAATTGTGTCCAGGATATGTAAGAAACCCAATACTTGTGGTGTGCAGTTATAGGAAAATGATCAACAACGGGGTGGTGTGATGAGTCATTGCTCCCATCCTGAAGTTCATTTTCCCATAACATGTCCCCAAGTGTTTTATTCCTCTTTCACCACAGCAGATTTCCAACAAAAGTTTTTTTCAACAATTTTTTTTTTATTCTAATGAATGGTCCATCATGCTTTTTATCCATTTATAGTTGTATTTAATGATAATGCAATGCATCATTATTTAATTTGTCCCTTTCATACATATTTTGTTTTATAAAAAAAAAATCCAGATATTTTTAAAAATTGATTTAAAATTTGCTTGGCATGACTTGACTTTTTTTCTAAATATCCCTCCCATTAAAATGTAAATAGATTACCCTTATGTAGGATAAATAAAGAAAATTAATCTTCCAATGTGTATATAAACTAAAAATGTTAACCTTCAGGTCTGAAATACTAAATATTGGTGAGCAAAATGATAAATGTCGTTACTGAACAAAATGTAGCAATGACGTACAAAATTTATGCAGTCTGACACTGTTGTGTGATGCAGTTGATTTAGGAGGTAAAAAAATCTATTTAAAAAAACAACAACTTGGTTTTGAAAAGCTAAAGTGTTCATTGGAGTCTGGCACAAAACCATTAAATTAATTAGGGATTTTAATTTGAGATTTTGCATATGAAGTTTGCAAAGATATACTAGCGATTCTACAGTGAGAATGGCAAACAATTCAGAGAACAACAGAAGAGAGAGCAATGGAAATCAGGATAATGATCGTCTCAAGTGATGTGGAGGTTATTTACATGTTATATTTTCCTAAAAACAGCCTCAAATTGACTGTTCATAAAGGTTGACACTGGGCATGAATGGGTTACCCAGCATTACTCTGGGTAAATGAATAAAAAAAAACTCAAGCATTAAGGTTTACTGTTAAATGATGGTGCCTATGTGATGTAAACTCGGTGTAGCACTGTAGCTAATTACCATATAAAATTAAATGTTTGTTAACTTTTAAATTCATTTAAAAACAAAATCTTTTAATGTTTTGAATGCAGCTTTAATGAAATTGAATGTAGCTTTCCCCTTTAACTTATTAGAATTCATAGATATTTTTCCTTTGCTATAATATTTGCACAGTTAAGTCTAAAGCTAATACACTGTAGACTACACTGACTTAATATAGTTAGGCTTGCTACAGTATAGTTTATACATACATACATGTTGTAATATAGAAATAGAATATACAGTATATGAACACTGTTTTGTGCTGTTTTAATTTTTGCACCTTTATGTCAGTCTTCCTCAGTGTTATTTTTACATTTTACTTAAATGCTACCTCGCAGATCTTTAAATGCTTTGATAGTTTCAGGGCACAGGCTTTGCTTTTGGCTAGATTTGCACTTTATGAAGTCTCTGATGTGCCCTTTGTTAGGCCTGGAGAGCTTTTTGATAGAGGAGCACGGGGAAGAGGAAGTGGAAGGGGACGTGGGGTCCGAGGTATCGGATATTCCAGATCCACTGATGGTTTTGATCCCAGAGGGAAACGGGAGTTTGAGCGGCACAGTGGCAGCGACCGAGCGTAAGAATACAGTGCGGTTTCTCACAGCGTATTGTCTTGGTGATGACCTCAGTTAATATTAATATTAGTGCCGTTTTCAACCAGGAGTGTTCGTCCTGAGGAGAAGAGGGGTGGCAGTGGACCTCGCAACTGGGGTTCCATGAGAGACCATGTAAGGTAAAGCATGTGCAATTTTATTTATTTTCAAATGTTGATCTAATAGATGAGAAATTTATTTGATTGAATTCAGTTTAAATGGTATAGTAGTCTTAACAGTAGACATCACAAAGCAGCTTTATAGAAATCTGGATGTGCATTTAGATCCCTAATGAGCAAGCCAGTGGCGACAGTGGCAAGGAGAAAGTCCCTGAGAGGACCTTGAGTCAAAAAGTAACCCACCCTCTTCTGGGTGACCCCGGATAGTGTCATTATAAATCATATGCAGGTCTAGAAGAGTAAAGACGAACAGTACTGAGTACTGCTGACTGCACTGATTGCTGTGTAATCCACTACTCTTGTAAACACGTTACATTGCTACCTCTGTCTAGCCTGCAGGGGCATGATATCAAAAGTAAGCCAAATACCTAATCAAAAAACCCCCACAACTCTCTACAGCAGTTCAAACTTTGCCTACCTCTGAGAGAGGGGAAAAGAGCTTGACAAACTTGTAAAGCTTAAGCTGATTGGTTGAGATCATTTCTGCTGAGATGGTTCAGAGTATTGTGGGCACTGGCCCAATGCTGTCTGGCCCAATGCAGACTCAGCGGGGGTAAAAACATCTACATTTGCAGATTAATTTGCACGAGTAGACATTCCAGAAATCCACAAATGAATGCAGGAGGTTAAAACACATTCCACATGATGAATAAATGCACATGGCGCGATCTATAAATAAATGCCAGTAATAAATGACTATTATTATCCAGGCTATGTTTGTAATGCCGAGTTTTTTTTAAATCATATATTTGCATATCTTGTTTTATTTTTGTGAAACTCTTGTTTATTTCCAAACTATGCAACAAGTATACCCATAAATGGCAAATGTGTCATTTATTAGCACAATTTAGCCTTTTTTTTTTTTTTTTTTAAATGACGCAGCTCTTATTTTTTTTCTCCCCCTTGCTTTAACAGTGCGGTTGCTGAGGGGACACCTATTGAGGAGACTGGCGAAGGCGAGGAAGTACCAGATACAGCAGAGACTGATTTGGAAAATGGGTAAGATTAACTTGTCTGTAGAAGAAATAGCAATGAAGTCAGCTGATGCATAAACCTGGATTAAAGTTCTTTAATTATAAATTGACATGTTTGGTGTTTGAAATTTGCCACCAAATGATTTTGAGGTAATTTTTATCACAGATTTAAAAATTTTGCAAAATGATTCTTCCTGAATTGGGTCTCAGAAGATATGAGAAAATGTGCTTCTTTGCTATATCACGTATGAGGCTCATCTTATTGGTTGTGCTTTGAAAAGGTGAGTGTGAAGTTGAATTTGCATGAACTTTGAGCACAGTACTGGATTTGACGCCTCGGGTGGCGGCACAGACTGCAGGCAAGGCTTTCTCCACAGGGCTTAACCAGCGCTGATTGTCTGTAGGCAGCCTTAGTTGGAAAAATGTTAATTTTCTGTGTTTTGTGATTGAGTTTAAATTTATTAAATTAGCCTCTGAACAAAATAAGCAAACTTAAGTTGAACTCCTATTTTGAATCGGTGGATGCCTGCAGAGTTGTAAGATGAGTTCTGTTCCTGCAGGCCTGTTGAGACAGAAGAAGTGCTTGAAGTTGCTGTTGAGATGTCTTTGGATGAATGGAAGGCCATGCAGGAGCAAAGTCGA